ACACACTCTAGTGCAGGATTCGCGTAGGAGCCTTCAAAAATATATGTTCAGCTGACAACTGAGGAACGCTTAAGAGTCTCTTCAAATGGTTTTCCGGATGAAAAATAACGCATGCGGTGAACAATATGTAGATCCATTATATTAGGAAATATCTGCTGTGGACATGCTTGAATGGATGTAGAAAATTATGCAAGACACATTTCGAAAATATCACTATGGAATTATTTTTGCAACTTGCCAAAATCATAGAAAATTTAAGTTGAAAACAAGGAAGTTTCTTAGATTTATTAAACAACTCATGGTGAATAAAAGAAGTAGTACCGCACCATTACTTACGTTTGCTGTGCAGATTCACTGTGAATTCAGCATAATCGCAGGTTAGGAAATCAGGTGTGTAAATCACCAGAAGAATCAGGTTCATACGCCTTGTTGAAAATCCTGTCCGCTGTTGAAACTTGTCCTGGTTTTAGTAGAGTCAGAAATAGTGACCAATGTTTCCATCACAACACTGAAATCAAACTTTTTATGGCACAGTGGTTAGGACTCTCGCCGACCATGCATAAGGTCCGGGGTTCGAGCCCACGCCGGCGCACACCTGATATCTATGGTCTGCCTGCAAAATTTGGGCTACCGATATCCATGCTGAAAATTCCATACTTGTACCAAAAATACAGTGTGGAATCATGCTGTAAATAAAAAAAATACCGAGAAACCACTACAGTTAATTCTCCTCGCAGGTGGTATTATTATTATTTATTATTATTGTATCATTTAGTTCCTAGAGGAACACAGGGCTTCAGCTGCGCACCTCCCTTGCCTTCTGATTTCTGACAACTTTTTCACCCGGCTCCAGGTCTGTCCACATGCTTTTATCTCCTACTCGCATGAACTCCTCCATATCACCCTCACACTGACGACCAACTCGCCGCTTCCCTTTCGGGTTCCACTCGAGTGATGGCTTGTCTAGTGATGTCACTTGATGGTTTCCCCAGAGTATGGCCAATCCATCTCCATTTCTTCCTGCCTATTTGTTTCACAATCGGTTCCTGGTTGGTTTGCTCCCAGAGATCTTTGTTACTGATATTTTCTGGCTGGCCATCTGATCTTGAGTATTGAGCAAAGACAGCTGTTAATGAAGGTCTGAAGTTTGTTTGAGGTGTTCTTTATAACGCGCCAAGTCTCTGATCCGTATCGTGAGTATCACTGACTTCACATTGGAGTTGAAAATCTGGATCTTATTTTTGATGCTAACGAGTGCTGTTGACCTGCACACTGACTTAAGAGTATTAAAAGCTTGTCTTGCTTTTCCGATTCTGGTTTTGATATCCTCGTTAGTTCCGTCTGTAGTTGAAACGATGCTTTCCCGGTAGGTGGGTGGGTAAAGGAGGTTGTTTCTTTCAGGTTCCTCCCATTTATGCTGATCGTTGTCTGTTGTTGTTGCTGTTGGCCAGGAATCTTCATCACCTCTGTTTTATCAATGTTCAGCTGAAGTCCTATCTTCTCTGGATGCTTCTTCTGCCAGCTTGTTGCTTTTCACTTGCATATCTTCCAGTTTGTGGGAAATCAGACAAATATCATCGGCGAAGTACAGATCCTCCAGATCCTAACTGTGTGCGTCGGTGGCACAGTGGTTAGGACTCTCGCCGACCATGCATATGGTCCGGCGTTCGAGCCTACGCCGGCGCACACCTGATATCTATGGTCGGCCTGCAAAATTTGGGCTACCGATATCCACGCTGAAAATTCCATACTTGTACCAAAAATACGGTTTGGAATCAAGCTGTAATCAAAAATAAAAATAAATCCAAAAAAATAAAATAAGTGTCTTGTGTCAGTCCATTTTATGCCTGCTTCCTCATTGCCTGTTGTCTGTCGCATTATCCAATCTATTGCAATCAGGAAAATCATTGGTGATAGTAGACAGCCTTGCCTCACTCCCGTCCTTACTTCGAAGGCTTCCGTAAGTTTCCCGTTGTGGATTACTTGGCATGCAGCATTGTCGTATAACTGTTGGATGAGATGTATAATTGTCGATGACACTCCATAATAGCGAAGTAGTTGCTGAATGACCTCTCGATCGACACCGTCGAAGGCCTTTTCAAAGTCGATGAAGTTGAGGTAGAGAGGTGACTGTTATTCCAATCTTTGTTCAATGATGATCCGTAGTGTGGTGATTTGATCAATACATGATTTGTTTCTCCTGAATCCAGCTTGTTCCGGACGAAGTTTTTCATCTAGGGCTTGTTTGATTCTCTCCAGGATGATGCGACTTAGTATCTTGCTTGGAATGGACAGAAGCATAATTCCACGCCAGTTTTTACATTGACTTAAGTCTCCTTTCTTTGGAAGTTTGAATAAGTAACTGTTCTTCCAATCCTCGGGTACTTTGCCCTCTTTCCACACCTTCTCCAACAGTGGTGTCATCAAGTCCGCTGTTGTCTATGGGTCTATTTTCAAAGCCTCTGCTGGGATTCCATCTGGTCCCGGTGTTTTCCCAGCTTTAAGCATCTTGATTGCATTCAGGACTTCTGATATCGTTGGGGGGTTGATGTTCACTGGTAGTTCTGCTTCCGTTGTTGGTATTGTTGGGCGTGTTGTAGGTGGCAGACGATTTAGAAGTCTTTGGAAGTGTTCAGCCCAGTGCTTTCTCTGTTCCACCTCTTTGGTGATTGACTTTCCATTGTCGTCCTTTATTGGCTTAATCTGTGTCGAACGTTTGCCCGAAAGGTGCCTAGTTGTTTGGTAGAGTGTGGCGAGGTCTCCTTTGCCTGCAGCTTGTTCTGCCATGGTTTCATAATATTTTCTTTTGTCTTCCCTGGCACTCCTCTTCACTCTTTTGTTCAGTGTATTGTAGCTTGCATTCAGCTCCTGTTTTTGTTGCTCGTCGTGCACTGGATAATCTTTTGTTTCACTATCCTTCTCTCTTCTATTAGTTTCCAAGTGTCCATAGTGAGCCACTGTTTGTCCTGTCTCTTTTTTCTGCCTAGAATTTCTATGCAGGTTTGACTCCACACCGTTTTCAAGTTGTTCCAGTGCTTTTCGACGCTGACCTTTTCTCTGGTGTTGATTTGTATCTCGGCTTTGTCCTTTATGCTTGCAATGAAGATGTCCTTTGTAGCCTGGTCCTTCAGCTTATGAGTGTTGAACTTGGTTTGTGGTCTGTCTGCAGCTCCTGTTTCCCTCAAAGCTTTCAATTTGATTTGGATTGTCGCAGGTGGTAGCGATGTAATCACCTGTAGTTGCGCGTCACATCTTCAGTGTGACTGATCTCGTAATTGGGCTCAAATATTGAAGACATTGGTGTCACAGCAGGTATCGTCGGAGAAATAGGAATCAATCGCTGAAAGATCTATGCTATATTGCACAGCAGCTACTAAAAAGTATCTCGATTTATCCCGTGAGCATTTACTTACTTCCTGACGTCATAATACCACTCAAATTTATGAATTGTTAGAAAAAGCTATCGGGTCTGAGCTTTTTTATTAATACGAGCACGCCAATTGACTTGCTGAGTTCGTAACAATATGATTGTACATTTCCTACCTATCTTGGGTAGACACACCGTTTCTTAGTCAACATAAGGTTCACATGCTTCTAATTGCAACAGAAATTTTGGTCGCTACTTTTTTCGGATTGTTTTTACTTGTATTCAGAGTTTTGAAGACGTCAAGCAAACATTCGATTAGGGTGAACCAACAATTCACTAATGCGTTTGGCGTCCTGAATTTGTACATGTTTACCTTGATGAATGCTTGTGTCTGTTGCAAAGTAGAAGATCACACTAAGAATTTCGATCGACTAGACAAATCCGCTGGCGTAAATAGTAATGAACATTGTACAAGGAACCACTCAGTTTTACTGCCGAAACCATTCGCTGCAGTGATATAAGTTCAAAATCAGATATTCCGCCCTCACTTGGCAACTTTCCAGTGCCGAATAGTACGAAGCACTGACTTCTTATGGGTGAGCCAATTATCACCTCCACATTGTAACCCTTGATTAATGGGTAAGCGAAAGATAAATGTATAAATTTGGATGGGGTTGTTGAATAAATATCCACCAACTTTAAGGTAGCTGTCCAGATGATACCCCAGTTTTAGAAAGCTGTCAAATGCACTTATTGCAATTTCTTCCCACTAATACGGTTTTCAATAGATTAGATCCTTCTCATTCATGTGCTGATATTTTTGACCAGCCTGAGTAATATCTACTGTGGTTGTGAAGCATTAAAGCAAATATTTATATACACGACAATGAAGCTCAACAACTTATTGGATTTTACTAACCCCAACTAATAAGTTTGGAAAATCATACGGGTATATTCAGACACACTCCAATAAGTGGGATATTATATCCAAAAGTTATCGACAGTGAAATTAATGACTGACTGGATATTTATGTACTTAAAATCCAGCATCTATCCACAAATACAATCAACTCCTTGGCTGAGAATATCCTAAAATACTCTAAGGAGTCTAAATCTAGAAAAGTTAAAATTGAAGTTAAAAACTACTAGTTGGATGTATTGTATCAGGATCTATGCGAGGAGATAATATTTCAAAGTCACTAATTAGCAGTACAAAATCACTAAGAATAACACCAGCGCAAGGTTATCCTGATAATCCAAACACCTTCACATTATTTTAAATAATTTTGAAGAAAAGAAATCACTGTGATACAGTGCTCAAACTATAACGGGAAATTCGTGAGAACTGTGATTTGCTTACTAACATATTATCATTACTAGTCTGCCAACGTTACTTAACCGACAGACACCACTTTCGTAGGTGTGACCAATACGACTTTTTCGAAAGTCGTATATAATAAGCAAAGGAAGAGGCTAATTCGTAGAATTTCCAACAATGCAAGACGAGACTTCACTCAGAAAAGGGATGCTTGCCAATTAACCAATTACATTTTCCTGCAAACAGTAGTAATTAAACTATGGAACTAAATATTCTGGGCATATATTCCGACGACACACACAATAGCACATCTGAACTGACAGAAATGTGTAAAAGCTCTTCTTCAAATCCCTTTGAATACATTACGAATGGGCCAAGAACATGCAAACTTTCAGAAAGCAGGGGTATATTTCAGATTAAATTCACAAGTAGTCCGTGTGATTATCATGAAATTTTGGTTGGAATGTTTTAATATACTTCAGTCCTCACATAATATGTCACAGTTCAGTCCATTTTTTCCACACCTCCAAGCATGATTTATTTGTATTGTAACTGATTGTACTGCTCAAATACACAAAAATTTCTTGATTTTAAAATAATTTATTTAGCATGGTAATATATGAAGTTCTGTAGATTTATAGTGAACAGTTCATGTTTATGTATATTTACATTGTCATTTGCACATCAACAAAGTACAAGATTCACTGAAAATCACAGAAAAGCTACAAAATATACAGAATGGGAGAATATATAATGACAAAAGCGGGATGAAATCTCAAAAGAAGTCGCTTTCAGTTAATCTCAATATCGATATGAGTGACGTTTGGAAACTCTTTCTGCAAAGAAGAAACAAACAAATAAATGAATAAAGAGAATAACTGTGACTACACAAGCAAATGTTACACTGTTCATTTTATGCTACAGACATTCATGCTATATAAGTGTAGACTACCGGAGTAGCCAAAAATAAATTACGTGACTGCCAGAGATAGGAGAATGTACATGGAAATGCTTGCAATCTATACAAATCTTCAAGCGGAAAGTTGCTTTATACGATAAAAAAGGAAGCCACTTGCAATGCCATGCAGTTGGCAACGACGGCTGGAGAAGATAAGAAATTGGTTAACGGATCTTTATTAGAGGAAACCAAATCATGTTTATAAATTTTTAGCCACAATAAAGTTTAGCTAGGTCAGCAGAGAATAGATTACTGTGATTGACTGGTGACTAGTCAGTGGTTATTTCATGTCCACAACGTGGACTTAATCCAGATTTGCGTAACAGACACTTCTATTTTTTCAGCCTTTGAATTAAAATATTGATTTCAATTTCAACCGTTTCCTATCGATCTACAGTACAATAAAATACTAGCTGGCTTCCCAAACCACGGTAGATGGAGAGTGGTTCGAGTCCATGAACCAATGGTTGAAATTCGACGACCTGAACCAATGAGCCGAGGCTTCATGGGATTATTATATGTAACATTACGGCGAAATTTACGAAATCTTCATTAGAAAACAATAGTTCACTGGTATTTAACAGTAACAACCTTTGGACCATAACAACACTTTGGTGATTATCGGTAAAAACTGAAGAATTACGTACTGACGAATGATGATTATTTCAGCCCAGTTCAATAAACCACTTAATACCACTGCAGTAATGAGATCCACCAAATATATGAGTTAACGAGGATACAATGTAATCATTGCAAAATTAGGAGTATGTGAAAAAGATAAGTTATGTGAAATAAGCGAGTGATGAGAAGTGAAGCGCATCAATCTACGATTACTACAGATAGGTACACTAGAAACAGTTTTTTCTTTGTTATTTCATTAGAGTTAAATTAACATTATTCAATATTTGTTCACTTATACACTAACCAAGTTACATTACTTTGATGATTACGGGGTTAGTAAGAAGAAACACACGAATACAATACATACCTTAATTTTTTCTTCAATTTGATTAATTTCTGCTCCAAGTGTATTCACCAAATTATCACCGTGCTTCAGCATGAAATGAGCCAATTGTTGCTCAGTTTTCACATTTTGCACCTCCTACGAAATAAGCGAACATCAACAACAGAAGTAACTATACATCACTCTCAAGATTTTACACTGGTTAAAATTATGAATGCTCCAGTAATTTTAGCGTCTCCCACTAATTAATACCAGTCACACAAAGGCAATTCTCCTTGACGGATGAAGCCACCCCCCCCCCTACCTCAACGAGCAATGTTAGCTGACATATAATTAAGTTGGAAAAAAGTTACGGGTGGTCAAACAAAAACCTGGTATCAATCCATAGTCTTTGACAATTGGTTTCATACAGGTACGGAGGTGCAGACTGCCAAGTTCGAGTCCTCCGGAATGTAAGGTCCGATGGTTTCAGACAGTTAGTGATATGACTCAGGATATTTCTCGATGACGCAGATACAATCCTTCAGATCCATTAGGTCTTCATGTTATTTTATTTTACTATTGTTTCTTCCGTACATTTCTGCCCAATTAGTTCTTCCGAATTTTGCTTTTTCTTCTTTGTGTTACAATGTGTTACATGAGGCGTGGCAACTTGAACTGCCGCACTTCTGTGCAAACTTCTACGCTGAAGCTCAGTCAGTCAGTGAGACTTGACGACAGAACTGAATACACGAAACGAAATTCGAATGTTACTGATCCTTATCCAAAGAAAATGTGAAAATACACCACAAAAGAGAGTCTATGTAAACAGAAGACCGATGCTCAAGAAACAAGGAATAAACAAAATAACTCAGACAGAATATTCATAACAAGAACATGTGAAGTATTATAGTGGAGACCTGTAGTGGACGTTTTTAACTTAAGACAACAATTCCCGCACATCACCACTCGAGTTTTATCGAGGAGACTTGCCTGACGTTCCTGTCAAATGCCTTAACATCTCTTTTAATCAAAGAGCCGACAGTTGAACAAAAGATAAAGTGGAGTATAAGTGCAGATTACTTACATGAAGCAGATCATCCAATGATAAAGTCTCTAGATAACGTTTAGTTAGTTCACGACCATCAATATCTACTTCCGCTTTGAATCGTATTTCTTCACCGCCAATCATTGTAGCTTTAATGTCATACGTCCCACGGATAATTTTCACGTTATCGATTACACGCATAATAGCTTCTTGATTTTCAACAGGAATAGCTCTAAAAGATAATATAGATAAATCCAAAACTAAAATGTAATTTGTTTAGTGTGTTACCACAATGAAATTTTAACATCAACGATTATTAATTCAACAATTACTAAAACTATTAATAGGCTGTAGTTGGCTGAATAATCTGAACACAACTAGAAAACTAATGTAAGTGTAGGACGTGAGCACTGTGGCAGAGCTTAATTCCATATTAGATAAGTTTATTTGATTTAACACAATAGTGCAGTTACTAATCACCCGATGGTGTTTCAAGCAAAATTAATTACTCATAATCATATCAAGATTAGTAAAGAAAAATGATAAAAATAATACAAATAATATGAAATTCAAAGACTGTGTAGTGCAAGGAACAAAAGTGGCTCTACGTAGGATTCTCAATAAGGCTAACATTAGGGAGGCAGTTAAACCAATCAACTCTCTGAGATAAAATTTCTCGGCTTGAGGACTCGATAGATCAAATCAAGCTAAATGATATAATTGACCAAATACCATGTAATGACTGAGGTCGATTACATGGGTCAAACTACTAGATCGGGTTTATTTGGATTATTGGAACAAAAACATTTGGCTAGACCTATAATGACTAGACTATCCCGCTAAGTTAAATAACCTAAAAAAATTGGGCACTGTGGTAGAGTATATCTCCATGATGGATAAGATTATATTTTGATAAATCACACAGTTTTATACTGTAATATTGATTGTATTAATATTACTGTATAACACTGGTGATTTATCGATTTATCGCATCAAACAACAAGAGGAAGAGAGAGAGAGAGAAGAAATGTACCATAAGGGAAATTATGAAGCAGTGTGATTAAAATGATATGATTATGAGCATTAAATTCTGCTTGGAATGCCATCCAGTTAATAATACTAAATCACTGTGTTAAACCGAATAAACTTATTTAATATAGAATTGAAAACCGAAGACACACTAGACAGGTGTCACCTAGTTCAGCAATTTCAGAAACCATTTAACTACACAGTATGATGTACAGGTCTCATACGACGCATGCTATTGTTCACAAGATATTTTCCTACTTTAATCAATATGTGATATGAAACAATTTATAACCGACACGATTAGCTTCCTAAATTTCTGACTACTAACTGAGTTTCTTCTTTAATTCAGAAGTCTATGGCTGTTACTTCACTAAAGAATTTGAAGCAGTAGTTTTATGCGTTGTTTTACTTCATTTGTTGTATGAGGGTTGAGATGCTGTCCAGGTACCCAGACCGAAGCAGGTGGTTTTCTTAAGGGACCACCCCCTCGAGCCTTTGACTTGGAGTCTAATCCGCAAGGCAGAGAAGCAGCATCAGGAGTTGCATTCCCATGGTTGCCGGTGACCCGTATGGGTTCATACGCCATTTGATCCGATTGGATTCTGGAACCCATGTACCCCATAGTAACTGCTTTTAGTTTAACCGGTATCCAAGCAACCTTCCTGACATGGTAGGACCTGCAGGGACATGAGTCCCAGCCAGCTTAGCTTGTTGGGTCACTGCGGTATGCAAGCCCGACCACCACGGTAAGGTAGCAGTTGTCGGCCGGGATGGTATGTGGTTTGCGCCGTCTAAGTGCAAAGTACTGTTACAAGATTGGCAGGAGCCTGTATCTGCACTCACTGTTGCGGGTGAACCGCTTGAGGTTGTGTGAGTGCTGGCGGAGGGGTGACGGATGAGATTTGCAACCGTATATAATAAAAGCTAGGGTGGCATACATCAACTTGAGCCACCTCTGGCGCCGTCGCGATGTTAGCCTGGGTGTCAAAGGTCGGGTATACAATGCTTCGGTCCGGGCTGCCTTGCTCTACGCCTGTGAAACCTGGCCTCTCCGAGCTGAGGATGTGCGGCGACTCTGCGTGTTGGATCATCGCTGTCTCCGCAGGATTGCTTGCGTTCGATGGATGGCATCATCGCGTGAGTAATTCTGAGGTTCGGTGGCGTGTGTTTGAACACAGTGGAGATCACCATTCATTGAGTGTCGTCATCTGGAAACATCGGCTCCGGTGGCTTGGACATGTTCTGCGAATGTCATCCCAGAGACTTCCGTACAGGTCTCTGTTCGCTAGCCCTGGGACGGGATGGAAAAGACGGAGGTGGTCAGTCCATGACGTGGCGTTGTGGGATGAAGGATTTTTGTGCTAGATTAGCATCGGTTGGTGTGTCACGACTCCCTAGTTTGGGTCCGCCAGATAGCTCGAAACGTTATCAGATATGGCCAAGAATCGTAATCAATGGCGAACGTTGCAATTTCCTTCTTAATTCCCTTCCCGTTGATAGTTAACGAATACTGTTTGAAATTGTTACGCATGACCGTTTTCCTTCCAGATGAAGTTCTTTATCCGTTCTCTACTTACATATATTTTTTCTTTTTTTTTACTTTTGATCTATGCTGTTTTATTACTATTTTGTGGCGCATCCTTCTTTGTGCCATATTGTACCTAGTTTTTTCTGCGTTTAAATAAATAATAAATAGTTTTATGCGTTTATACACATTATGAAGTCCGTGTTAAATTGGGAAATATTTGCTCTTCTCAAGAGAAGCTTTAGGTAAAGGACGAATCCACAGCACACTACTTAACGCTCTACTGTTAAATTTAGAACATGCTCCAAATCCTCAACAAATATATATATATATATACCTTCCTGCAACACTCGGACGCCAAACTGGTCGTGCCGCAATCGGTTGCCACTCGTCGGTCTGGCGCGTGATATCACTGAACGGTCTCTTCAGCATTAGTCCAATTCACCTCCATTTCCTTTCTGCTTATTTTTTGGCCAATAGTTCCTTAGTCGGTTTGTTGCCAGAGTTCCTTATTCTTTCTGGTCATCATCAGTATAGAGAGAAGACAACTATTGATGGAAGTTTGCAGTGATCTGTTGGAAATGCTTTTTGTGACATACGAGCCGAGTCTGTAAACCATATAGAAGCACTCACTTGATATAAGTGTTGAAAATCCAAATCTTGTTATTTATGCCAAAAGCAGATTTCCCGAATGATCTCAGATCAGTGAAGGTCTATCTTGCTTTTCCAATCCTACCTTTGTCATCTTCATCTACATCACCTGTAGTTGAAACGATGCTACTTGGATAAGTGGAAGAGATGAATTTCAAATCCCTCACATTGGTGGTGACTGGTGTTTGTTGTTGTTAGTTCTGTGTCTTCATCACCTATGCCTTCTCTACGTTCACTTGAAGTGCTGTGTATATGTTGCTTCTTCTGCCAACTAGGTGGTATTTACCTGCAGATTTTCGACTAGGTGTGGCGTTAAACATATCTCTTTTTGAAACCACCGACAGTGTTACTAACTTGTACAAACCATAAATGAATTCCAAATGACTGTTTCTGCCTGCAGGTACCACACGTCATAAGAAAGTTTGCTATTCCACATTATTTCAGAAATGCGCTGCTTAACTTGAACAGGTTATCTTAACCCCAACGCAGTGAATGACAGCGACAAACTTAACGATAATTTCCATGGCTCAGACTACCGATTACTATGTTTATCAGCACCTTAGTTTATTTTACTTGAGAAAATGAGTCGTATTTGTACTGAAATAAGAAAAGCAACAGATTAACAGACCTAAATGAATACCCGGTGAACACCCATTAAAGCTCTGCATACATGAATGTGGGAAAATTTTACTTACATAAAGCGGAAAATTGTTCTCAAAAAGGGGTTAGTAAAGTTGGTAATCATGTCTATAATTTGCTGTTACCTCACCAAATTACCTGTTGCTGAAAAACAACACACAAGTTGACTTAAATTTGCAATTTACACAGTTCAAGATGAAATTTCACCAATTTCTTTTGGAAAGCAAGCATAAATGCATACCGCTGTATACTACTGAGTGATTGAGATTGGTATGTTATATACCATTCATATCAACCAGCCGCGGCGAGGTTTCACCTAAAACTGTGTAAACTGCACATGTGATTTATCGTATAACCAGTTCGCCCAAGTAATTAGCTAGAAATCGGGTGTTTTGAATTGATTCGGTTCTCCGAGTTAAGTCGAACCGGGTACACCATTGATCACCTAGGCCCCAGACGAGCGAAACAGCCATGAGGTGTCTAGGTTAGTTTGATACTTTGGCTAGCAAGCACTACTGACTGATGTGCGTGATATCCAGCTACTCGTATCAATTATTCAGTGGTATATAATATCAAATACATAGGCTAACTACTCATTGTTCAAGCTGACATCATAACTGGAGATTACCAATGGTGTGTTTGGCAACACTTATTAAGATAACCACATTTTTTCCATAAATTATTGATAATACAACCTACCTTCCAATTAACATTTCGGTATTCGTATGTATAATTAGACCAGCAACTGCAGCAAGAATCCCACTAACACATATCCCTCCAATTGCATCGGGCAACACGTGCCCAGTATAAGCAGTTGCAGCCATAGCAGAACCTGCCACCAGGACACCAATAACTGCGGCCAAATCTTCTAGCAAAACCATACTGGTGCTTGGATCAACTCCTGAAAACAGCCAATGTCTAACAGAATCAAAGTTCAGACGTTTTGCACTTTTTGCAGCCTCACGATACGCAAATGCCAATGTACCTTTAAAGAAAAGTATGGCAAAGATAATTACAAGGACATTCAGAAAAATTAGCAAAATGAATATACAAGAATTTACAATAAATTGATTCGGATAGAAAGTCTTCTCCTTAAACTTGCTTTCGACCTTATATGTGTTAGCATAAATTTTTTTGCTGAGGCAAATGTTGTAAAAATCATCATATCACAAGCTGTGAAGATGTTAGAAATAATGCAGCACTATGTAAGAAATATACAAATAAACTAATCAGTTTGTAAGATATCTTACTTTTCTTGAGGAATGCCAACCTTGAATGAACACTGTATTGGCATAAATGAAACTCACAAATGTCTAAAACGCTGATCAAGAAAGTTGATATTATTATGAAATCATTGTGAACAATAGAGCCTGATTACCGAAATTTTCGTAACCTTAAATGTCCTAATCTGATCAATAACAAATACCACTCGGTGAACATTACACCTAAACTCCTAAACACAGCGTATTTAGTGAGTGGATTAAGCCATCATTCTGCTTTGATCTCAAACTGACTGTATGTTAGAAAATCAAAATAACTCTAAGTAAACTTATTTTATATAAACATTTGTCAGAAACAACGGAAAAAACATTTCTATACATAAAAACTGGTATAAAATACTGTGTTGACAAAGAACTCACTTCCTTCAGATAGAAGCGACCCGAGCATAACCATTAGGCCCTGAGTGAGAAAGAAGAAATAAACAAGACTAGATCAATACGAAATATCGAGTTATTAAGATCCACAGTACTATAGTTCGAAGGCATGCATAAGTAACACTATGCAAAGAAATGTAATAATATATTGAATATCAGATAAAATTAAGAGTTTACGCGACAAAGATAGTTAAAACGATAGCAGGTTCTAAAAGGTTTACAGGCAAGGGTAAATTGTCAGATTTCGACAATCAGGTAATGACGGTTAAAGTAACGACTTCCTGACTGGAGGATGATAAAATAAAAAGTATATATGAAAAACCTACATCGTTTGGTCTGCATACTTATTTTTAGAGTTCCATAAATCTGAAAGCTTAAACGCAATTCAGGGCAACAGTGATCCGCCCTAATGGTTGTACTTGCAGGGTCTGAAAAGCAAGACAACTTCAATAATTTGAAATCAGCGTGAAAATCTGTTGCAATCAACATTAACAGTAAGATTCAGATTGTCAGTTAGCGCTTCTATCAGGTTCAGAGACCGGGTGAGGGCATCACCAAAAGCTTTTCTAACCGGCCTCACGCTCTTATCAATAGCTGCTTTCATTCGACACTGAAGAACAGATGACTGGTCTGGTAGGATTAACAACAAGGAACACTGGCAAAGAACTAACACATAACCTATTGCACAGTAAATATGCCTAAGAAAATGGACATGGATTAGGCACACGCTGAGGAGACCATTGAGTGGCGGCGTGAGGTAGCCCCCTTCAATAGAAACCAAATGAGAAATGACAAGTTGGGCATTCGATTGTGACATGGCGGTTGTGTGAAGAGCAGATGAGAATTTGTGAAGCCAGCTAACGAGGACTACAGAAAACAGGGCGAAATGGAGATGTTCTGATGAAGTCTTATACGTTTCACTCACAACCTAAGCGAATGATAACAGTTAGCATTATACAAATAGCTGAAATCGTCGGAGTCCACCCGAAGAAATCAAACTATGTGTTCAGAAGAAACCTTAGTCACAATTACTTGATTAAAAAAATTGACAATTCCTACTTCCCACTGAATCGTTTGAAAGTCATTATTATTTTAACTATCTTTAATTGTCTCATAAATTTTCTTCATAATATTATGTAATATTCAACTGAGAAATAAATTTTTATGAGTATGTGTTAATAAAAAAAAGAATGCACCATCGATCAACAGTTTATCAAATAAAAGTCTGTAAACTACGCACAAACACTAACCGAGAGTTCAAAGAAATGAAATAAATAATTATTGAATTAACCCAAATATCTTCAGAATGTGCTATATAGTTTGTCATCTGCTTTCCGTTATGGCAAGTTAACACATATAATTAGATTAACACGACAAGTTTATGAATGGCATGACGATAGATACAATAGCTACGTAAATGCTACAAACATTCCACTTGAAATCTTCACACTTTTAGAGTTCAAAGAGTTGAATGTCAATTGCAAATGAATTCAGGATTTTCTATAATAATTCCAGAATTAGTCTTTTGCAAACTTCATGATAACTAAACAGCACTCATACATGCCAACTTATGCAATTCAAGGTGTATGAGAAAAACACTGTTTGATATTGAATAACATAATATACTTCAAAATATAGCGTAAGAAATGTTACGTAGTAATGACACTGAGTAGCAATTGCACTATATTGTGAATCAGTGAAGTTAGGAATTACACAGCATATAATATAAGATTGGTGCCAAAATTATACTACGTTTCTAACAAAGCCTGACAACTCAGGGTTGAATTTTTTCACACATACTAAATACTCACTACTGAATACAACGAAGCAGATATCCACTAATACTTAGTTTCAAATAGTTCCGCTGATGCAATTTATCTTAACTACCAAAACCCACTAGGCACCCATCGGGCAAAAGTTCGACACAGATTAAGCCAGTAAAGGATGACAATGGAAAGTCAATCACCAAAGAAGTGGATCAAAGAAAACACTGGGCTGAACACTTCAAAAGACTTCTAAATCGACCGCCACCTACAACGCGCCCAACAATGTCAACAACGGAAGCAGAACTACCAGTGAACATCAACCCCCCCAACGAAATCAGAAGTCCTGAATGCAATCAAGATGCTAAAAGCTGGAAGAAGTAGTAGGACCAGATGGAATCCCAGCAGAAGCATTGAAAATGGATCCAGAAACAACAGCGGACTTGACGACACCATTACTGGAGAAGGTGTGGAAAGAGGGCAAAGTACCCGAGGATTGGAAGAACGGATACTTATTCAAACTACCAAAGAAAGGAGACTTAAATCAATGCAAAAACTAACGTGGAATTATGCTCCTGTCCATTCCAAGCTAAATACTAAGCTGCATCATCCTGGAGAGAATCAAATAAGCCCTGGATGCAAAACTTCGTCCGGAACAAGCTGGATTCAGGAGAAACAAGTCATGTATTGATCAGATCACCACACTACGGATCATCATTGAACAAAGCTTGGAATGGCAGTCACCTCTCTATCTCAACTTCATCGACTTTGAAAAGGCCTTCGACAGTGTCGATCCAGAGGTCATTCAGCAACTACTTCGATAATATGGAGTGTCATCGACAATTATACATCTCATCCAACAGTTATACGACAATGCGCATGCCAAGTAATCCACAACGGGAAACTTACGGAAGCCTTCGAAGTAAGGACGGGAGTGAGGCAAGGCTGCCTACTATCGCCAATGATTTTCCTGATTGCAATAGATTGGATAATGCGACAGACAACAGGCAATGAGGAAGCAGGCATAAAATGGACTGACACAAAACACTTGGAGGATCTGGACTACGCCGATGATATTTGTCTGATTTCCCACAAACTGGAAGATATGCAAGTGAAAAGCAACAAGCTGGCAGAAGAAGCATCCAGAGAAGATAGGACTTCAGCTGAACATTGATAAAACAGAGGTGATGAAGATTCCTGGCCAACACAAACAGCAACGACAGACCACAATCAGCATAAATGGGAGGAACCTGAAAGGAGCAACCTCCTTTACCCACCCACCTACCGGGAAAGCATCGTTTCAACTACAGACGGAACTAACAAGGATATCAAAACCAGAATCGGAAAAGCAAGACAAGCTTTTAATACTCTTAAGTCAGTGTGCAGGTCAACAGCACTCGTTAGCATCAAAAATAAGATCCGGATTTTCAACTCCAATGTGAAGTCAGTGATACTTACGATACAGATCAGAGACTTGGCGCGTTATAAAGAACACCTCAAACAAACTTCAGACCTTCATTAACAGCTGTCTTTGCTCAATACTCAAGATCAGATGGCCAGCCAGAAAATATCAGCAACAAAGATCTCTGGGAGAAAACGAACCAGGAACCGATTGTGAAACAAATAGGCAGGAAGAAATGGAGATGGATTGGCCATACTCTGAGGAAACCATCAAGTGACATCATTAGACAAGCCATCACTCGAGTGGAACTCGAAAGGGAAGCGACGAGTTTGTCGTCTAAGGGTGACTTGGAGTAGGTCATGCGAGGAGGAGATGAACGCATGTGGACAGACTTGGAGCGGGGTGAAAAAGTTGTCAGAAAACCGAATGCAGTGGAGACGCGCGGCTGAAGCCCTGTGTTCCTGTAGGAATTAAAGGATATAATAATAAATAATAATACTAAAACCCATAATTCACTGACAGAGTTATGAAGTTCTCAAGGAAACAACTGCAGAGGATGTTATTAGGTTTGGTAATAAGACGTTCACGATGAGATATGAGCGCCTGAACGGCTCCAAATAATTCACATCTATATACAGAGCAGTTAATTTTATACCATCTAGTTCAAAGAACATACATCAAATTCATTTGATATGAGTACCACTACTATAGGGGATCAATAAAAAAGGCTGCACAGAACTCTACAACATCCAACTAAAACAAAATATGGTATTCACGAAGAAAAACGTGAACCGGAGGTTTTCAGAGTGAATTATACTTTCTAACTAACACTAATTTCGGAAATAAGATAGTATTATTGAAGCTGAAAATATATAGCAGCTTGACATCAGTGAATCAGTCAAACTGATTTCAACTGTCTACGAAACTATCTACCATGCTATAATCCAATCAGCGAATTAGCATTGTAACCAAGTCTAAGCGTCATACGACTAGCTGTTTTCGACTCGCTGTGGAACGAAGAATTAGCACTTTTAAAAGATTACTACACTTTATGCGTATTGGAAGTCCCTCGAAGTAAGGAAAATTGATACGAATCGTACTAGTGTTTATTTTATTAGGATTCTGAAATTCCCGCACAGGGAGCCCAAAATTGCAAGAATTGATAAATTGATTATATATATATATATATATATATATATATATATATATACGTTAAAAGCAATAAGACAGTAGCCATCAGTTGGCGTGTAAAATTAAGGTGTTGGTTTAACACAGAAAAAAATCAGCGCAAAAGGACAGCATTAGTGACTGTACAATATAAAAACTGAGAAAACTCATACTGAAAACACGACAATGACATGTTGTTCAATTTAACTTAGAAAAGCAGAAGGGTATTGATGACATTCACTTTCATTCGGAAGTGATTATTTGTTACGCAACATGCTTTGTTTTTCCTAAGGATAGTTTACGCATATCGCTGCAAAGATAGCAGAAGTGTTTTTCCCTGCAATTACATATATTTAGAACAACAAATTTAAGCGAACAATATTGTTTTCAATTAGATCTCATCAGGCTTAACTCTAATATGTATAAGTTTACAAATAAAAATTCAAATATAAACCAATCATGGTGTTTTGTCTATAGGATAATACGATGGTGAATATAAATTGTGCAATTAGTCATAATAGTAGTAATGATAATATTAATAATAGTAATAACAATAATAATGGTCTTATCAATAATAAGGATGAAAAAATGAGGCAATCTGTGATAACACGAATAATGAAAAACAGTATGATTAAACAAACAAATGTTCAGGTGAAAGTAGTCGATAAAGGCTAGTAAAAACAAATGAACCGATTACGTAATGTTAGATTGTGAGGGAAGGAAATGAAGTACGTTTATAATGAACATAAGAAAAAGGGATGATAATAAAGGGGTTGGAAATATAAATAAGGGGTGGTGTAGAAGTCTTTAGTTGGTTATGTCTTATTAGGCCACGGGAGAGAACTTAGAAGCAACGAAAGTTTAATTATTGGCAAGCCGGATAAAGGTGATGGTATAGTTTTACTGGACAAAAGCGATTATATTGAGAAAATGGAAGGTATTTTGAGTGATCAAACTAAATTTCAATCGCTTGGTATTTCCAAAGACCTCAATGTATGAGCTGAGAAACAAATGACCGACTCCCTCAAAAAGCTGAACCAAATAGGCGTATTATCATCAACCACGTATGAGTCCATGAAACCTGCGGGTACCAATACTCAACGTCTTTACGGTCTACCAAAAGTGCACAAACCGGGTCTTCCTCTTCGCCCTGTTTTAGATATGTATAACTCTCCATTTCACAAAACAGCGAAGTGGTTAGTTAAGATTCTGGGTCCTTTGCACAGAGAAATCGTGCAACATCAAATTAGTGATGTCTTCGACTTTATTTCTAAAATATCCGAGACTAATGTGAGGTATAAACGGATGTTATCCATGGATGTATCATCACTATTCACTAACGTACCGCTTATGGAAACAGTTGATTATATTTGTCAAGAAATCACCGATAGGCAATTATACTTAGGAATCCCCTTGTGTAGCCTAAAAGAATTACTTCTTAAATGCACAATAAATGTCCACTTTGTCTTCAATTATTCATACTATCGACAAGTAGATGGAATAGCTCATACGTGGTTGATGATAATACGCCTATTTGGTTCAGCTTTTTGAGGGAGTCGGTCATTTGTTTCTCAGCTCATACATTGAGGTCTTTGGAAATACCAAGCGATTGAAATTTAGTTTGATCACTCAAAATACCTTCCATTTTCTCAATATAATCGCTTTTGTCCAGTAAAACTATACCATCACCTTTATCCGGCTTGCCAATAATTAAACTTTCGTTGCTTCTAAGTTCTCTCCCGTGGCCTAATAAGACATAACCAACTAAAGACTTCTACACCACCCCTTATTTATATTTCCAACCCCTTTATTATCATCCCTTTTTCTTATGTTCATTATAAACGTACTTCATTTCCTTCCCTCACAATCTAACATTACGTAATCGGTTCATTTGTTTTTACTAGCCTTTATCGACTACTTTCACCTGAACATTTGTTTGTTTAATCATACTGTTTTTCATTATTCGTGTTATCACAGATTGCCTCATTTTTTCATCCTTATTATTGATAAGACCATTATTATTGTTATTACTATTATTAATATTATCATTACTACTATTATGACTAATTGCACAATTTATATTCACCATCGTATTATCCTATAGACAAAACACCATGATTGGTTTATATTTGAATTTTTATTTGTAAACTTATACATATTAGAGTTAAGCCTGATGAGATCTAATTGAAAACAATATTGTTCGCTTAAATGTGTTGTTCTATATTTTACTATGGGAACATTTAATATATTGAAATTACATGTCTCATTTTATTAACACAGAATCAATATACTCTCAGTTAATAATTGATATTACGAAATGTGACAGTAGTCACTGATTTCAGATTTGACTAAATGATTAGTTAGTGACTTTATTATGACCTGTATATAAGTACATGTCACGAAACAAAGCTGTTTATGACAAGACCTACACCTTAATAAAACAACTACCTAAAATATTCAACAATAATTGACATTTTGAAAAGGTGATTCATTTATGAAGCTTCTCAAAATGATATATGCCCAACATTATTTCAGCCCATCAGACTGGTGAAAATCACGAAAACAAAGATAATTACACAGGTATGGTACATAAAGATGAACGTCCCCTGGGGTCTTAAGGGCTTCAACAGGATATCTCCATTTGACTGTCCTCTGCAGTTGTTTTTAGCTGGTTGTGCAAATTCCCATAAGCTTTCATCTCCTCTTGACACAATCTCCTCCATTTCATCCTCGGATGCTCAACTCGTTGTTTCCGATTGGGGTCTCATTCTAGACCGTTTATCTCAAATTTTTTAACTCAATATCATACAGACGGACCACAAGTACATACTATTTGTCATACAATATAATCAACAAACACTTTGACACAGTGTGCTCAGTGAAGTGTGGCGACTCGAACTGCTGCACATTGGTGCAAAGTTCTATGTTTAAACCAGTCAGTCAGTTAATAGTACGAATCGGATTAAACTTGTGATTTTAGAAACTCTTATGTGTTCACATTACACAAAGAACTTGCTAAGTAGTCATTACTAATACATAAAATGTTAAAAATAGCAAAACATTTACTGTGAAACTGTTAAGTACTGCTGCTGAGTAAGTTATTAGAGTTTTCCCCGTTGCCAATTATGTTATGTACTCGTCAAGTAGTTAATAGTCCTGATGCAGATAGAGGGAATCTCAGAAGACCACCAGGTTTACGATGATACTTGTATTTTCCAGACAAGGAAAATAAATTTCACACAAGAGTGTGAGTGAAATGGCACTTAGATGTACGAAAAAGTGTGTGAACCAGAATGAACAAGGGTCTAATACAAAAGTATATATGAAACTGGCTAATACACATGAACCAATAAGATAACATCTTACCGTGATTGGTTGTAATGTCATGTGATAACAAGGTCATATAATGTTTATTTAGTTAGTGGACAGACAAAAGCATAGTCAGTTATAATGGAATATCGATCCATATACACAGAGCAAAATATAACAGACTGTCAAAAACAAACACACACATCACGTGACTACATATCAGAAACTAACGTACAGAAAAAAAGACTCACCAAATTGACAGATTCAAACTCATGTGGTTGTAGAATACCTTGTACGCTATGATAAAAAGTAAGACCGGCACCAAGGAAAAAAATAGCTACACCGCTAATCAGGGATGACACATTACGCATAGGGATATAACCATATCTATAAGGAAAAAAAATCAAAGAATTTTACTGAATTCATTCATGCATAAATATGACACTTCAGTTTGAAATGCACTTGATTATTAGAAATAAATTCGTTTATACCATCGCTTGGGCTTGGCGAAACAAACAAACGACCAAATATAGTATAACTAGAAACATAATTTCCTGCTTCACTTTAACTATCTCCATAAAAAGGAGAATACTAATTAAAGAACTACCCTATTTGGCTATTTCAATTACATAACGAAATAAAATATGCGTGAGTCAGTGACTGAAAAGGGAAATGTGAAAAACTACTACTATGAGGATGAATATAGGTACACAAGTGGGATTTACTATATACTCCATAAATATTGGACACCAGGATTACTTAGAAAAGTTATTTTACTGTACACAGACGCGTATCGTAACTAAAAAAAATATTGGAAAGTCATTCGACTGACAGGTTTCATTTTTATTTGCTAGTCTGGTCTGCATATTGTAACTACAACAGAGTATAATGGGTAGCAAGATTATTCTTGAACGTATCAAGGTGACACAAAAGCCAGTCGGATGGCAATACGACATAAAGCAGCTACCATGGAAACATTGGTTGATAATACGACAGTCGGGTCTTTGGGTGCTTGTTAAGGAAAAAATGTAGAGCTTTACACAGGTTAATTAGCGCCAATCAAAAAACCCAGCAATGTACTCCAGTTAGAAATCATGTCTAAAAGTCATGAAGTACACGGAACGACAGGCTGAACAGTTCACTCCCCCTCTTTGAGGAGAATTCGGGCATCAAGCAGACAGAAAAGATGATCCAAGTTGGAAAGACTAAAAGGGTAATATATATTCGTGACATTTTATTATCCTGGACTCCCTTAATAAGTACAGTAGTCGATGCATTCAAATGCCTTACTTCTGATCCTGCAGCATCATCGCGTTCTGAAAATAAGTTAAGTGTCACAGATATAAGCAAATTTCTGCTTGGGATATCGAGAAGAGAAACATGTTGATTTCTATCCATAGGTCTTTGTTTCACTGCACTCATGTGAAATGGAATTAAAGAGTGTGTTGAAGTAAAAAGTTGTACTACGAAGACGTGAGTCAATGAGCTTGTGGATTTCCAACAATCATGTTGGCTGAAACACATGTCTGGCATACCAGGCCACTATCATCTTCCGCAAGTTCCGGTACTCGGATAATAAGTTGGAACGGTATTAGAGATCGTCACACTGAAATGTGGCACCTACTCAAGACGTTCGTGACGATTGGTCTAAGGTATTCAAATGTTCAAAGTAAATGACTGAAGACCCTTGCTTGCTCCGAAATCTTTCACAATATTGACGCCTAGATTCTCTTAACTAGTTTTTAAGAAACAATTTTCCTCTCACACATTACTGATTTAGTAAGAATACAGAAAACAAAACTTACGGATGAGTTTCATCTGGCTTTTGTAACGATGAGTATAGACCGTAAGCGACCAGAACCTTAAAAATTTACAGACAATTAGAATTATTTACTATACGCATTAGTGACAAGTAACAAACTTCAAGAATTAATTAAAATTTATTTTCACTCCACACAATAATGCTGTATATCATGGGTCAGACTTATGAAGAGTATGACAGAAAGAAACGTGTTGTCCTACGGAAGATTAAGTATCAGTCTGACTGTTATTCAAAATGTAAAACAGCACAAGGTATCAGGGCATTACATAAGACAAGCCAAACAAAAATTTATAAAACCGAAGTGACAGCAATGATGATTCAAAAAAAATCAGGTGAGCTACGGAAAAGCAAGCTAGAAAACAGATAAGAGCAAACATTCGGACTTATCTCAACGTGAAGCAAATATATATACCTATGCCAACATCAATACACCTAACGATAGTTAAGATCCCTAGGAAACAAGACTAACAGGAAATGCATCAAAACGAGGGGAACGAACACGAAGTTCAGTAAAGATATCTTTTCGGTGATTGAATTCTCAACAGCTGTACGATCGCATTTATAAATATACATGTTTACATAGATACAATTGTTATTTGTTTAATTCCACGTAGTAACGAAAGTGATTAGGGGTCATAATAGTTTTCAACTTGATATATAAGTTTGAATATGTGAATATAGATTATAAGGGCTTAGAGAAAGATTATATAGGATTAATATTTATCAACTGAAGAAATAATTTTAACTTTACATTGAGATCAGAATTTGAAGGTATGAATATAGATTACTAGGGGCTTGGAAACAAAATATTACAGGATCAGAAAATAGTTTTTAACGACTAAAGGTGTGAATTGGATGAGCATGGGAACAAGCTGAAAGAGTAATAATTTTGAAACAAAAAATGGAATGAACGGGATGAAAAAACGGGATAAAAAAAGACAAACTGAGCTAGGTTGGTGGTAAATGTAGGGGTTGAACCAGTTTCTTTTAAATACACAGCTCCGGTCTTCCGAGGCATATGACAAGGGCTTTTGCAGCAAAAAGAAGCCCGAAACACTCTGCCTTTCGTAGATTTTTGTTTACTTTGTAATTCACTCTGAATGATGAGTCAGTTGAGATGCTGTGACAGCTGCTGACAAAATGTTCTATTATGGGCGCTCTTCAATGAACCAGTGCCTCCTCTTCAGAGCCATGCTGGGTAATGTTCGCTAACTCGTTTCGATAGGAACCGCATAGAAAGACCTATTTACCTAGCTCCACACGAGCACGTGAACGGATATATGCACATTGAAGCGGTCATCTCCGGAAGCTTGTCCTTCACATTGTTCCGAAGCAGTAGACGATTAGAGAACATCACTTTTAAAGTTGCGACAGAAAAAGTCTTCCTTAGGAAACTGGAGATTCTCCTTTCAAGGATATCTGCTGATAGGTCACCCCTGAATTCCAGATTCAAATAAAGTGTCTTCTTTGGCGCTGAAATGTATTCTTCTCTTTTTGGCTTTGGTTTCATGTTCGCCACGAAACGCACTGGGTATTTATTTGGAGCCAGGATGCTCTTAGGAAATAAGCTCTTCTTCTTAGCAATCATCGCTGCAAATTCTTCTAGTACAGGGAGCCAACGAGATGATGACAGCTCGCTTACGACTGAGAGGTACCCAGCTGTAGAAATTTGTCAGGTGACCATTCCATGTTGGTTTTCTGTGGATAGGTCTTCTCAGAATTCCGTCATCTTTTCTTGTCAATTTGACGTCCAGGACTGGAATCTTTGATTCATTTTCAACTTCCATTGTGAATTTAATTGAAGGACGGTAATTATTAAACTCCTGCAAGATACAATTTAAATCAGAATTATCCTGACAAACTACAAAAGTGTCATCGATGTACCTTTTTTTACAGCAGCAATTTGTCCATTATTGATTTTAAGATCTTATTCTCTACGCTGGCCATGAAGCAGTCTGCCAAAAGTGGGCTAAGGCGAGAGCCCATGACAACCCCGTCTTTCTGTCCGTAGATAACTTCATTGAATGTAAATTGTGCGTTAAGTGTGCACCTTAGTAGCAACTCCTTCAGATGAGAGGTTGGTATTCCGATGCTCAGATTGTTGCCGTCCACATATTCGCAAAGGAAACAAATTTTTTCTGTGAGTGGCACATTTGTAGAAAAGGATTCTACGTCCAGTGGTAACATTCGTTTGCCACTTACATTCAGATCTATTTTGCATTCACTAAATCAAAAATATCTCAGAGAGAGTACTTACATAGTTGTTGTCTTACAGGCTCTAGCATTTCAGACAGTCATTTGGCAATCGAATGGTATGGGGATTCCGTCATATTTAAAATTTGTCAAAGTGGCAGACCGTAGAGTCGGGGGATAATTGATCCTGTTGGTCTCAGGCGTTCAAATAGGTTTTCAGTTATGAGGCAGTTGCTCTTCATTCTCCTAAGGACATCTGTCAGTTGCTGTTCCATCAGTCCTATCTTATTTTTCTCATTGTTTGGTTTTGAAAATTTGCTATCATCTGAGAACAGAGCTGTCAATGTATTGGTATACACATCTCTACCCATAAGGACTACTCTCGAACCTTTTTCTGGACCTGTAATGATTAGATCTTCGTTGTTTCCCAAGTCTTTGAGTTGCTGTTTGTGTTCCTTTGTGAGTTGTCGGACTTTAGTTTTTGAGTTGAGGTATTTGGTTGCAGCGGTCGAAGATTGTAGACTTGAAATGTAACAATTCTGCATCAGAGACAGTAGTAACGTAGCTGGTTTAACTGATAAGATTTGCGAATTGGACATACGTGTGCAGTCTGTCACTATATAGATTTACCTCACGAAATTTCAACCCTAAAGGTGGGGCTTTCAATTGTAACGCCGACAAGCTGACGGAGGAGTGACTGAAAACAAATTTATTGGGGTGGATCGGGAACTTCTTTTGTGCTTCGACGGATGTGAAGCTCTTGTTTATATCTGGTTTAACATTCTCAGCTCGTCTGCTCTGTCCCAAGGTAACATATTCATTAAACGATTCTCTTCCACTTGATGATAATTCGCACAGAGCAGAGACCTCTGTGATATATTTCTCTGAAACTTGAATAAGCGCGAATAGAATCAATAAGGTTTCTAGTATGACGTTGAAGAGTTTTGGAATTGAAATAAACATGATATCTTCGGAGTGCCTTCCAGAACCACTTAAGGTATTGATAATTTTTAATACAGTTTTCAAAGAAGTGCAATTTTGCATTGACTTCGGTAAGTTTAACAGAGTAACGTAGAAACCTTCACTGTCGAAGGGTCCTTCCATTTTTTTTAATCGTGGAAAATACCCATCGGGACATTAGAGGGAAAAAAAGAAGTTCAAGGAAAACATCTTTTTGGAGGTCGCCGAATAGATACCTTTGCTGAACTTCGTGTTTTCTTCCTTCTACTGTGGCGATGGATATTTTTCATGATTTAAATAAGGTATCAAAGAAAAGAAGTGGTAAAGTTTTGGAGGCTAAGGATATTAGAGGACTTATCAATCCTACTTCCACTTAAGCCACCTTTACACATTCAATAGTAAGGCCGAAAAAGAGGGGAGGTTGGGTGTGAGAGGCTAGCAGTGGCACCCTGTAGAGACAACACTTTAATACGTGAAACCGTACGTTTTACTTGGTAGGCAAGGAATGAGAATGAACAACAACCAGGTCAACGCAACCATAGTTTTTAACTCAAATGTATGCAGCAACTGGAAAATCAACTTGAAAAAGAAAAAGTGATATGAACCCATGTATGGTGGTTTACGTGAACTCTCAGGAGAACGAATTGAAATCATATATATCGCATTCCGTCCATGGGTAGCTGAAACAAGAATGCAGGTATTTCGAGCTATTTTGCAAAGTATTCTATCAGACGTTGAAATCGCTTAGTTTGAGTAGTCATCAGTTATTTCTTACATTAATGACAGGATTACTAATTGTTACCGCTCTTCCCAAAGGAACATTAGGGGAATATAGTTGGAAACACATACTGTCTTTCAATAAAATAAGAGGTAATACATCGTTTCTATATATACCGAGTGGAATGCTTTTATTGATTTTTCAGAGAAATAACTATGAGCAGTAAGAAAAATATAAACCTATAGAAAATTTAAAGTCCGAAGCAGTAACGTAACAGACATTCATGAGAAACCAACAATAATTTACTCACCAGCTTCAAAAAAAAAAAAAAAAGAAAATAAATGGCAGTGAAACACAATCACTTGGAAGATGAACAGGAAATTTCATAATGTAATGACTGATTACATCAATTCTAATAAAGCAGGTAACGTTGCAATTGTAATATACCTGATTTAGTGTATCTGCAAGTGAATGCATCATCTCGGAAAACATGCTCTTCGAACCAGTACACCACCAACCGAAACCTTTGGCTGCAACATTCAGGCTGTTTCTGTTACGAAGAAAATATATTGAATTCAAAAAATGATGAGTGTTTGACTGTTATAAAAAAAGTAACGCTAAATGCACTAGAGCTAAAAGCAATTATTAACACATAAGTTATTAGAAATCAGAAGTTCTTAACTAATAACTACGATTTCGAAGAGCAATATATGACCTTTAAATTACTTAGTGGTGTCTGTAGTAACCAACACACAAAAGCGAAAATAAGTACTGAGAGTACTCACCCTAATACGAACAAACTCGTATTTTAAGTTACTACTATCAAAAGTAACAAATGTTTACAATCCACTAGTATCTCTCCATTGCAAAAACTATCGACAAGAGGAAATGTGATCAAAGGTCTCTCGTCACAAAACCTGCCGAACTTTCTGCTTATCCCTCCTGAGAATATATTGGGGTTCCATCCTCCTCGGGAGTTTCATTTATTACAGCTCTGGTAGGGATGGTTTCTTTTAATAGCCTTAAACAAATCACTCAATGCTGAAGTCTTTCCTATTTTCCCTTACTTTTGTTGTTCCGGGCTGTTAAGCAGACATTCAGTAAAAATTGCTCCACGCCATACCCGAGGTCCTCCATGATCAGGCTCTTTGCCTCAATCAACTTGAAAGAATCATTGGCTTTTGTCAACTGTCTTCACTATTATTTAGACAGAGGACTAACGACTGAGTCAAGCTTCTACAGGTATAGAATAGAAGATATATAAATTTAGTTATATCTTACCTGAACCTATAACCTGGTATTTTTATCAACTAATTGACCCCTATAAGTCAATAATGTGCATCGGTGGCACAGAGGTTAGGACGCTCGCCGACCATGCACATGGGGTTTGATCCCCAGCCGATGCACTCCTTTACCTCGCTAAGCCAGGAATAAAGCTGGTAAAGAGGAAAGGTTGGGCATGAGGCTAGCAACCCCATCCTATAAAAATAATAAACACTGCTACAGAAACTTAAAGCCTCTAGCTTGAAGCCCTATGTTCCAATGGGAACGCCAAGGAATAATAAAAAAAAGTCAATAATGAGACTTCACTATACAACCGTTACCATAGTGTGAGTAACTGAAACTACGACAGGAACTGCTTTTAATTTAACAACCATCTCGACTTACTGCGCTGGTAGTTCCAGTCATTTTTTATTTTTCTTATTCACTTAACTCCAATTGACCTTCACTGTGAATCTTCAAAATCCAACCTCAGGTGATTATTCGGCTAGTTTTCATGACTTCCTGGTGTGGCGATATCATGAAGATCTTGGGCATAAGATACACTGCTTGGTTGTGTTTCAGTAGATAGCTACCTTTGTTACATAGAGATGAGTCAGTCCGTAAAAATAGAGAGGGGTGGCAATTTGCACCCATCAATTGAAATCCGAAGGAATTAAATTAAGGGACTAGAATACTGTGATAGGCCAACTGGATCATCGCGTAAAGATAGCAGTTAACAGGTTCTACACTGAGGGAAGATGACAGGGTCGCTGAAAGCAGAACACGTTTTAGCCATCTAAATCAGATGAAGTTTACAACAGATTCTTCCAAACAGCTAATACTGATCATGGGACAGACAGACAGATATAAAAAGGTTAGCTGTCTTTTATCATAGGTGTCTGTTTTATCTTCCGTGTTAGGTGGTATAACAGAATGAATAATATTGAGATGGTAAGGCATCGTATGTTAGATAAGGAGAGAAAGTCAATCGATGAGGTTGTGAAGCTACATCGACTGAGATGGCTACATATGTATAACACATGTCCTAGTCATCACCTTCCTCGACGGGCAGTGTTACCTAACACACGGTCAGGTTAAAAAAAGAGCTAATGGTTGTTAAACCAAACCTGGTTAGACCGGGTATTTGTCTATTAAATCTTTAACAGTTAGTTTAAGCCACACAGGAAGGTGTAGGCTTCCTAGTTGGGGTCGTCAGGGTCCTAAGAACCAATGGCTGTAAGCAGTTGGTGACATGGCTCAAAATTGTCCTTAGTGGAGTAGATGCATTCACTCTTTATGATCTGCCACATCTATTAAATAGTTATGTTTTTCGATGTTACCATTCTTTCTTCATCAGATTTCTACTTATTATCGTTAATTCTAATCTCCTTTATTCTTTTTTGTCTCCCTTCGTATGTTACATGGATGGAGGGTGGCAACTTGAATTCCTGTACTTCCGGGCAAAGTCTTATGTTGAAACAAGTCAGTCAGATCATGTTTTCACATTTGTTGGGCTCTGCTGTAGTAAAACTGAACCAAATGGTACATAGCGTAAGAACTCGAAACGAAATTCCCCATCAAAGATGAAATTCAGTTTCCGAAATACTTCACGCTAACTTACAATACGAATAGTGGAGATCAGCTAGTGAATACAGATGCGTTGCATTAGGTTTACATAACAATCTTTAAAATAGAATGTGGGAAAATCTAGCACTAACTTACACGGCTATGGCAAACAGAACGACACGACCAGGACCTGATCTAAACATCCTCTGTCGTTTATCCACGAAGACCTGCTACGGGAATATACAAACAAGTAATATGGAAATTAGTTCATTTTTGAAATAAAAACATTAGAGAAGATTACTCATTAACACAGGAACAAAATCTTAAACACTAGACACAAATCCACCATTACAGCAAAAGGTAGGTAGGCGAACAAGCCATGATATATTGAATGCAAGTAAAAGAATACGACAAAAAGATTCACTGCCAGAAATCCAAAACAAGAAATAATACAGAGGATAACCCGGGCTGAAGTGAGATGATGTTTCGAACTCCAACCGTGATCCGAAAGCCAAACGTCAATGACATCACCAAGTAGGCAACCAGAGTTCAAATGATCATATTCCTAAAAACGAACTGCTACACAAGACCAATAGAGTGCTATCTCCATTTTTAATGTTGCTTTTAAGAGTATCAGTATTAGAATTTGAACTTGTAAGCTTGATAGAAAATAGTAGGAATTGCCTAAGAATGGAAAATATTCAAGATTTTATTGGAAAATATTACTCAGTAATCACATTTATTATTCTAATCGTCGAACTCTTAAACGCCATACGTTGAATTTGATCAGTGCCATACAAAAAGCCTTCTGGAACTGGTGAATAGCATATCCCAGCGTATACATTTCTTATTCGGACTAACGGAGACCACATGTAGTTTACTTGAGGCGACATGGATTTCACCAGATGGAAACACCAAAAACCAGATAGACTGCATCTCAATCTCAAGAAAGTGGAGACGGAGCCTACTGGAAACAAGGTTGAGGAGAGGAGCAGATGTGGGTTCAGACCACTATCTAGTAAAAGGAACTTTCAAGACGAAGCTAAAAGCCTCGAGGATAGCTGAGGATAGGCCACAATGCAAGTTCAACACTCAATTACTGAAGGACGCAACCACAAAGGACACTTTCACTGCAACTGTCAGAGCAAAGCAGGAAACACTACGTGACATCACTGAAGAATCATGCGTGGAGGACCATTGGAACTCTCTGAAGGCGATTCTCAACGAAACGTGTTCAACGGTTCTAGGAAGAAAGAGGAGACAAGACAAGGAATGGCTCTCAACGAACACTTGGAAATTAATAGAAGAGAGGAGAATGGTGAAAGAAAAAATGATTCAATGCAAGGACGGACAGGAGGAGACGCTGAGCTCAACTTACACAGCACTGGAGAGAGAAGTGAAGAAGAGTGCTAGGAAGGAGAAAAGTCGATTCTGCAACAGCCTGGCCACTGAAGATGAGAAGGCAGTAGGCAAAAGAGACCTGAGGACATTATATCAGATAACCAAATCTCTATCCGGGAAGAGAGAGATCAACACAAGCGAAACCCATAAAAGATAGCCAAGGCAACCCAATTACCAAGGAAGAAAGACAGATTAAACAATGTGCGGATCCCTTCAAAGGACTCTTGAGCCGACCACCACGTGCAATGCGTCCAGAAATACCAACAACAGCGCACACACAACTACAAGTTGACACCAATCCTCCAACGAGAGCTGAAGTCTTGAATGCAATCAAGATTCTGAAAGCTGGAAGAGCAGCTGGACCAGATGGAATACCCCCTGAAGCACTCACTGAAAGCAAACCTAGAGAAGACAGCAGACATGCTGACTCCATTATTGCAAAAGGTCTGGAAGAAGGGAAAGGTGCCTACTGACTGGAGGAAAGGTTACCTCGTGAAACTACCAAAGAAGGGCGACTTAGGACCCACTCCGCAAGAACTAGCGAGGAATCATGCTCCTATCGACGCCAAGTAAATTCCTGAGTCGCATCATCCCAGAGAGAATAAAGGACGCACTGGATACAGAACTCCGACCAGAACAAGCTGGCTGCATTCAGGAAAGGCAAATCATGTTCTGACCGAATTGCAACTCTACGCATCATCACCACAGAACAAAGCAAGGAATGGCAATCAAACCTCTACCTCAATTTCATAGACTTCGAGAAGGCGTTTGACAGCGCTGACCGTGAAGTAATTTGGAAGCTACTCGAGTACTACGGCGTACCCCAAATATTCATCAACCTCATTCAACAGCACATGTAAAGTGATCCACAACGGAAAACTCAGCGAGGCGTTTGGAATAAACACAGCAGTGAGACAAGGGTCCTTATTATCACCAATCATATTCCTAATTGTGGTGGACTGACTGGATTATGCGTCAGACAGTGGGAAACGAGAAGACAGGGATATCCTGGACCGACGTGAAGAACCTAGAAGACCTGGATTTCGCGCGTGGATGATTTATGTTTGATGTCACACACAATCGAAGACTTACAAGCGAAAACCGACAAACTGGTCGAAGAAGCAGCTGGTGAAAATAGGACTCCAGGTGAATATAGACAAGAAGCAGGTTATGAAAATAACCAACCAACAACAACAGCAACATCCAGCGTCAATCACCATCAAAGGGAGGGATCTGAAAGAGGTTACTTCATTCACTTGTCTAGGAAGCATTGTCTCAACTACAGGAGGAACGGACGAGGATGTCAAATCGAGAAGGCGAGAAACACATTCATCAACCTGAAACCAATCTGGAAATCTTCGTCACTCAGCATCAACAACGAAATTCGGATTTTCAATACAAACATCAAGTCAGTCAGTTCTTCTATACGGATCAGAAACTTGGCGGGTCACAAAGAATATTTCCAACAGCCTGTTGCAGACCTTTATTAATAACTGTTTTCGCTCTGTACTGAAGATCAGATGGCCGGAAAGAATCCCCAACAAGAAACCATGAGAACAAACAAAACAAGAACCAATCACCCAACAAATATGCAAGAGGTGAGGATGGATTGGACACACGCAGAGGAGGCCGCTGGGTGACATCGCGCGTCAAGCCATCGCTTAAGTGGAACCCGAAAGGGAAGCGGCGAGTGGGACGTCAGTGCAAGGGTGACATGGAGGAGACCTTGTGAAAAGGAGTTGACCCAGTATGGACTAACATGGATTCAGGTGAAAAGTAGAGCAGAAGACAGAAGCAAATGGAGACTTGCAGTTGAAGCCTTATATTCCATTAGGAACTCGTGGGAACAATAATAATAAATAAATACAACTTAAACATCACGTTTTCAAGAATTCTGTCCTATTCCTAACACTATAGCTTACTAGGCCAATGTAACTACTGGATGATGCTAACTTGAGTGACTCCGTAAAGAGGAATGCATATTTGCGAAAGCCGATGCCATATGGATAATACGAAATCTAACGAAAACGGTACTAGATATAACGTCAACGAAGTTACGGATTTACCATACAGTAAAGCCAGCAACGATTTTGGCTACATAGGAAAAGAACATTTATTAAACCTATCCAAAAGTTTTAGCTTAAAAGATACCACCTAGGTGCCCGTGTTTTGGCTTACAGTATATGTTTACAACAATTACCTATGCAGTATTTATAATTACACCACACTGTAGGAACTGAGATAAGTTATTAAATGTTTTGGCATCGAAACATTCGCGAACACATTCGAAACAGCTATCTTTTCAACTGAATAATGACATGTATTAGTTGTGGGAAACTGAAAACCTTCAGAAAGCTGGTAAATTGTCTAAAATAGGGGGATACAACTCAACCAAAAGTCTAGAGCTTCAACAGTCATACAGAGACCCATCACTTAACTATATTTGTTATACGAACTATGTTCTTAAACCCAAAAAAGACTACGTTCGAGTTAAGACAACAGTGTGTCGGTAAAAAATGTAGTGCTTTACTTGCCAACTAAACCTAATTCAATTTAAATGCCTACAACTTACATGCGTTCCAGTTGCTTTGGCTTCAACTGCGCTTCGTAAGTACTTTAAAGCCTTCTTCATATTAAAGATATCTAAAGAACTGTGAGAAGTTTTAATTTCGTTCACCTGACTTCGTCCTTCTTTCCATATCTTTCATCAATTTCCGTCGAAGCTCAAAGACATCATGACCACCATGCTTTGAATACGCCCTGAAGAAAATATTTGTGATCTTAACGTGCTTTACATCTGTTCCACATCCGAACGTAAGAAAACGAGCGTTTTGGTTTCGTTTCCATAAGGGCTTCGGCTATAATACCGCGGTAATTGGTCTAAATCTCTTCAAGCGTTAAAATTTAAGTTGTTTTACTGTTTTGTCAGCATATATTCCCTCAATGCTCTTAATGGAGTTATATATTTTACAGACTTCACAGAATCATCGTAGAATAAATTTGTTTTTATTTTCGGAACCACTGAAATTCAATTAAGCAGAAACGGGTATATACCCTTAGTGTTCACTTTATCAATGGGAGAATCGACGGTGCTCTTGGAGGCGGAATTTACGTAGCATTTTGTTATCGAAATGCATGTATTACATGATTTAAGAGGTAGGGCAAGGGAAAGAATATACCGCCTATTAGCGGAAAATAAAGGGTAGCCAATATGATTCACAGCCGATTTTATTATGAAATGACCGAACTTAAGGTATGCATTCTGCATAACGCAGTCAGAAGTCAGCCAATTGTCCTAGGCGCCTTGGGAATCAAGTGACCTACAACGCACTTTCAACTGCGCTCAATAGAAATGAACCATTTAGGTTATATACATGAAACAGGACAGTGTTTCCAAAGTACAGCAACAACAGTACATTTGAATATTCTAAGACGTGGATAGGCAATCAATGTTTTCTTTTCAAATCTCCTAAACGCTTACTGACCACTTCATTTACTGTCAAGAGCATCTATTACCGGGAAAAGGACATTCTTCAGGGTCATTTGTGTGGAGGAAATGTGAGAATTCTATCTAATATTACTCTTCACTAGTTTTGGGCAAACTTCATCACATACTTAATAGAAACGCTCCGGGTATTTTTGGACATATTATCCACACAGACTTTTTCCGAAAATGACATTTGGGGCCATAAGTCTCTGCTGATTGAGATGATACTCACCTTTTCAAGGTCATAGCGCCAGAACTAGTCTAGGAAAAAGTAGAGAGCTTCTAACGTGCACTTTTTCACCACCATATTTAGAGAAAACATCAAATGAACTTACCGAAGGAGACATATAAGCCTCTTGGACTGGAAAGTAGTATCTGAGAGATTATGAGTAAAATGACGCTCTAATATAATGTCAGCCCTCACCCGAATGGATGCCGAAATATCATGCCAAGATGTTGCTTTGAGATACATTCGTGTGCTGTCGTACTCCTTCTTAAATAAACTTAGTACTGGACTTACTGACTCTCTATAAATCTTCTAAGGGCCACAGCATGTCACGTTAGCCACGGAACTATTACCCTCTGACTACTATGTTTACCCTTTCAGTGATACTTGACTTTTTTGTGATCAAGAAGTATCAGTAAATAACGCTAATGAGGTGTTGGGTAGCAGTTTTTCCCTAAGCCATCCTGCTTTCTGTAGAGGGGAAATTATTTATCTTCAGTCAGGGTGACGTTATGACGCCCATATATATTTTAGCGGGGATTTGATACCTTCATGAATTTATTGCTAGTTGGCTAATAGTGTATGCGTCAGGTGCCGTTGATATCGTGATTGTGTCAATGAAGGATCCAGCTTGTGACTTTTAGTATTTGAATTTCGCCTGTAGGTGGGATAAACACTGTGAGCCTCAAGCTGTCAGGTTCTAAACAACCTTCTTTTTAAAGTTTAAACAGCCTTGAAAATATTCCCTCCATGTGTGACACAGTATTACTTTATAATAATAATAATATATTTTCTCATTTTTTACATGAGGGACGCCAGTTTACAGGCATCATCAATTCGATAAATTACACATACGATTAATAAGCATATTTAGTAAAGATAATATAATAAGGTACACATTTTTTCCTAGCTATGTAGGATACACCAATTGTATAGGCATGTATAAATAGTGTTTTATTAATAATATATTTGTCCCTGTTTATGCAGGAACATACCTATTGTACAGGCATGGATAAGTTGTTATATAAATTGCACATGATTTGATGTATAATGGATTTACAGTTTGGTTGTTCTTTCTGGCATTAGAGTCAGTAGGAACAGTCTGCTATAAAGTCTGTTTGTGTTACACATAAAGAGATATAGAGATATTGTCTTCGCATTAACAAAAAACCCAGACGTCACTTGAATGTAATACAGATATCTGGGAAAAATAAAGCTTGAAGTCAATTCTCCTATATAACTTTGTTGTGAACAGCACCCTTGGCTTAAAGATTATTGATGTACTATGTTGAGATCAGTGATATATTTATTCCATTTTTCAGCAGTCTTATCGTAGTTTCATAACAGGAAAGAAATTTTATCGTGGAGGCAAAAACTAGATAAGGTCATGCTTGGTTGTTTTACTGCCGAGGTCATTTCCAGAATTCTCCATTTGCGCCATTTGTGTTTGCATGGCGGACTGTAATCGTAAGTTGAGTAAAATTTTGAAAAACTGTTTGAAAACCAGTTGCTTCTTCATTTCAAATCATGAATACTCATTTACAGCATGTTCGCCAGCGTCTTCAAATGGTAGCATTGGATCGTTCCTGGAATTTGAGTGATTATGAGATAAATGGTTTGACATTAGTCATAGCAGTTAGAATACAGTTAAACATGCAGAGAAGTACTTTTGATTCAGCAACCGGTGAATTTTTTATTCTTTTCGATCTGGTACCAGAATAACCGCGAACCATTCCATTCAATATGTTATGATGAAACCAACCGCCTCATACGACGGTACAATGTGTCTGCGTTGACTGTGTATTAAGGCAAGAGATAGAAAATTTCTTTCAGGATTAGTCAACAACTGTCTGATTCTACTCGTTATGAGGCTAAACCAATTATTGTCCAGGTATATGTGGGACTGTAGACATGTTTGACTTCGTAGGGGAAGAATATTTATGGAATTTTTGGCTGAGTGGTCTACTGCATAACCTTTTGATGTGTGCAGCGACGAGAGTTAAGTTCGAGCCACAGTAGGCGCACCATTGCTCGGAGGTTTGCTAGTCTCATCTGTCCGGTGTCCTGGATTCCCTGCTAGCCAGAATCAAGCAAAGTTTTGATAGTATTTCCTTTCAGTCTTATTCATTCAAGAAACTACCAAGGAGAACTGTCGAAATCATTGTGCATTTCTTTGTTTCCTCGTGAAGGTCTGGAGTGGCTTGCCTTCCTTTTCGCAGTACTCTTCGGTACAACATTGTGAGCACTGAATAACGTGTAATCTTCTGAACAGTTCGTGGACTTCTAAAAGTAGTTCACCCATAGCATCCTCATGGTATCTGTTAAGTCGTTTTTTTTCTGATCACATCCAAATTCGGACTTGGAAGCTGAAGCCCAACGTGTTCGAGAGTTTATGACTTGTTAGTTGAGGAATTTGAAGATTACAAGCTCCCAAGGGTTTTCTAATTAGATTAAGCTAGCACTTAACACCAATATCACGACTTATTATGTCAAATTTATTGCATCCAGTGGTGCATGTGGAAAATCCAAGTTTTTCATACATCCTAAAAACTCAGGCCAGGTGAGCTTTTCTTCACTGTGGAACAGTGCCACAGTGGCACTCCTTCACTGAAAGAAATGTTTATCGATGGCTTATGAATCCCCTTCCTTAAGACACTAGTAGGAAAAATTGACCAGTTCTCTAGTTGACTGAGTGAAGTAATCTGGCGAGATTTATTTGCCACAAAGAATAATTTGGCAGCTGAATTTTTAAAACTAAGATCAACTTAATACGGTCATAGCCTTCTTTTACAGATATAATTCAGACTCGCGATTTCCCTTTCCAGTTGCCAGAAACTGTCGCCCTTTAAAAACCACCCGATGGAATGCATAAATAATGAGTGCTTGTCAGGGTTAAAACAATACTCTTGGTTGGTAATTCAAATTTGAAGGCAATTATATTAGCGTATAAGAAAAGAGGTCCGATCTGGACAGCTTATATTTGAAACAGTCCGACTGCAAACGTACTTATGCTTAATTCGTTGGGGCTTGATATCAGAGGAAACAGTATGTTGCAGGTAGGAATTTTTCACTAAAATCAATCTAAGTGAACAGGCTATAGAAATATTTTATATGCCCATGGGACAAGTATACAGATGGCCTGATAGCCCTATGAATCAATTACTGGAGCTGCAAGTTCAACAGCGGAGCCAGTCGTCTGAAAATTGGTTTGCAGATAACTCTGTAAACCATTTAGATATACGTTGGAAGTTGTGTTCTCCGTGGTTTCAGTTGATAGCACACACACAAGCCGGGTTCCAATATCCATTTTATTATCCAGTGTAAAACAAACTAGTTGGAGACAGATGGACTTTTGGAGGTGTATTCACTGTACGGTCGTGATTTATCAATAAATTAGCACGCTGTTAAAATTTCAAATAGTTTAGTTATAGCAGGCAATCAGAACAGATTCATTAATAGTGTATAGAGTATGATAGTGCATGGATAAAAATTATCGTAATGTATTTAATCGATAATGTTGTAAGAAGAGGACCAATGGTACATGCTGACCAGTAAGATGTTTCACAGATTTGTGTAGGGCCTTCGGGGTAGCATCTTGACAGGAAGCTTAGCAGACCTGCGTTTATTAGAAGCAGAAGCAGTAAAAAATTTAGATCTAAACAATTATCATCGTTATTTTTAAGTTAAGGATGTGAACCTTTTATTACAGCTTGATTCCACACCGTATTTTTGGTACAAGTGTGGAATTTTCAGCATGAAAATCGGTAGCCCGATTTTCGCAGGCTGGTTATTGATATCGGGTGTGCGTTAGCAGGGGATCGAATCCCAGACCATGTGCATGGTCACCGAGAGTTCTAACCACTGTGCCACCGACGCTCATGTTTAATTCTTGAGCTGTGAGACTGTGCATGTTATTGTCCTACAGATTACAGCGATCAAAGTTTGTGACCACCACCACATCTGCTGATCAGCATGAGCCACCGTCTTGTGCTCTTCATGTTAAGCCGTTAAATTTTTTGCATCAACTGTTGTTGTGGCATTTCAATGCTTTGAGCCACAATTACTCAGTGTACCGAACATTAATAGATTTCATACCAAATGTTTCCCCTGGTGCCACCTTCGAGCGCTCATAACCGCTGCTTTAATTCAAGCTTCATTTCAAATCACACCAAATGTTGCGGAGGTCCCTTCTGTTTGATAGCAAAACTGCAGATACTAAGGTTCTGTATTACTTATGTTTTAGTCGGTACTCGCCACCACTGTCATATTTTGACATCCTAATGATTGTGTGTGATTGTTATTCACCGCCAATGCTTCTTCTGGCTGTCTCATTTCATTATTAAGGCTCGGATGATCAGGCACTCAATCCAGCCGACCCTCAGGAATACCGGATGTGATGACCCAAATAGTGTCCACGGATGTTGATAAACAATAGTGAATAACTTTCCCTTCTCTCTCAGTTAAATTTTAATACCGATTTGGCCGATCCCCTGTGTTCATTTTCCAATTCAAACGCAAATTTTGTTTCTGCACTATCGAGCTTACATGTGAAGAAGATGGAGATAAGCCTAAGGGACGACTGACCTACTCATCTTAGATGAATATTTCACTGACACCTGTATTGGAGATTTTCCGTGGTATA